TATACATACATATATATGTGTGTGTGTGTGTGTGTGTGTGTGTGTGTGTGTGTGTGTGTGTGTGTGTGTGTGTGTGTGTGTGCGTGCGTGTGTGTGTGTGTGTGTGTTTGGTGGGGGGATTTACAAGTGGGGGAACTGAAGACAAAGCAGAACTAACAATGAAACCAACTAAACTACTTCCTATGATTTCGTGTTCTTGTTTTAAACAAACTGAATTGCTGGCACTCAACGTTTTTTTGTGTACAGATAAAGAGAGAGTAAAACAAAGAAATTATGATCTTTGACTTCTTTTTCTGCCAGCAAATAAAGCCATTTTCCATCTTCCATTGGAAGTAACAGGAAAAGAAAAAGAAAAAAAACGACTGCTTCAAGGAGCAGCAGACAAGATTGTTCCTGCGCACAAACAGACCTTTGGCGCTTTAATAATAACCAAGATTCAAAGTAAACACTGGAACTGTCTGACTGAGTCCCTCCTACAAGAGTGAAATAGATTCACTAACTCTCAGTTCAAGGTTCAGGATGCACCTTTGAGACACTTTTTTTAATCAAATATTTGTGCTGCAAAACAGGGGTCGCCTCACAAGGTCAATCGAGCGCAGTCTTGACAATGTGGGAACAGAATGACAAAAAGTCTTTGTCACTCTATTAAACACCTGGCCGTGATGGGTCTCTAAGCAACTACTGTTAGAGCACGAAGAAAAAGGAAGAGAAACAGTACCTGCTTGATGATGCACTGATTGGAACTGGGCACTCTTTGGGGTTAAGGGGTTGTGTGAGTGGGGAAGCATGTGATTTAAGTCAAGAGGACCTTTCTTCATTTAGATTCTTAGTGTCTTTCCATTTTGAGCCAGTGGGTTGACGTTGTGCTTGAGAGAAAATGGAGCAGATGAAACAGACACAATGATGCACATGAAAGAGACATCGTTAACAAGCCCACACAACTAAGACATTTTCAGACTTAAATACTCCTGATAAAATAAAAATGAGTCAAAAGGTGCCAAGGAGATAATTAACTCTTTTTTTTCTTTTCTTTTTTTAATTAAATTGCAGTCCAATTTTCTCTTTGTGTTTTTCTTAATTCTTGGTCAAAATACACAACTAGAGGCAAGAGGAGCTAGAGCTAGAACTAGAGCCAGTTGTGTGTACTTTACAGAACTGGCTAGAGGAGACTGTTGTTCCTATGCATAAAAGTGCTTTTAGTGAAAGAGCTTTTGCAGTGACAGCAACAGAGTGGAACTCTGTCCCTCAGAACATCAGAGAACTTACAACATACACTATTTTCAAAAAGCATCTAAATAACTGGCTCATTAACAAGCGCGTATATATATATATATATATATATATATATATATATATATATATATATATATATATATATATATATCTATATATATTATGTTTTATTCTGTTTTATTAATCTAAAATTTGCAGTCCAGCAAACATTTATCCTGTATTTTTAAATCAGTTTTGAAGAGTTATAGCTGTTTTTATTTGTTTTTATATGTGTATTTTTCATTGTACAATGCGTACTGTTGTGTTTTTTTAGGTAGACAATTTTAAGATCTGTCGAGGGACAACAGATGCAAAATAGCCTTTCGGCTAATTCTGGTGCATTTGCAGGAATGCTTATTAATGTACAATGTCCCTGTCAAATAAATAAATAAATAAATAAAACCATTATGCTCTGTTTGTGGAAACTCTTAACATACCTTTGAAACAAAGGGCTTCTTTTCGGTGCAGTTGAGTCTTGTAAACATATTCACAGCGTTTTTAACTTTACATATTCACTTGCATTGTGTCCATAGACCTAATTTGATCCACTGACAATTATATCTAATGACTGAATGTGAATAATGCATTTTTTAAAAAAGAACATGAAATATTAGCAATTTAGATACAGTAGCCTAAATGTATGTTTTTTTAGAACCAACTTTCTATGCAGTAACAGCAAGAAGTGTTTCGGGGTATGTCTCTATGTTGCATTTTCTCTGAATATTATTTAGGTAATTAAGAATATGTTTGAACCTAAAAGCACTGTGGCTCAGTTTTTTTTCTCTAGGACTGATCATAGTTTGATAACACTTTTCTTCTCATCATTTTTAACCAGCTTCTTCCTCCCTGCCGCATTAGTACACATCTGGTTTTGCCATCCACCATGGTTCAAAAACAGACATCTTGCTCTTATCTGGCTAGTCCCTGCTAAATAGAAGCACCATACATTGGAGTTTTAATTTGCATTTGAATTGTTTTGTTTTACGGCAAAAGATCTATAAAAGGTTAGATAGATAGGAATATGAACTGTTTACTTCTTTTTATGTGATTAATTCCACTTCTCAAAATAAAGCAAAATTATTTTAGGATTGGGTTAACACAGTTAGGAAATATTACAGTCAATATACATTTTTTTATTATTATTTTGCATTCATTGGGACTATGTGATACTATACAAATTACCAACACCCAAATAAAGCCTCTCAGCAGGTGATTACATTTGGTTTCAACCTTTCTGCTGGCAGGAATATCTATTTGCCAAGATTCTGATGTCACTCAATGAGCAGTGCGGGCTTCCAGTGCGCACCTTTGGGCGCGCAGCGGTGGCACAGTCTGTTTTTTCTTTTTCATCCTTCTTCATGCTCTGCCTAGAAACCTGTCGTTTCTGCTCATAATTTCTCCATCCGGATTGTTGGTCGTGAATCCTTATAGCTCCTCGTAATCTTGTTTGGTTTCCTTTGACGGAACTTTTTAGGGGAGGGAGGACTAAAAGAGGTAAGGTGCTTTTACTCCCTTGTAAAGATGCCCTTGAACGATGGCTCTTTTTTTTTCTTTTTAATTGATACTCACAATAAAACCAACATCTGTTTATGTTATTAAAAGAAAAACCTTTTCCACCTTAATTAGGTAACATTCAGCTGTTTCGGGCGGTGAGTTTACGCCCCACGGCAGAAGCAGAAGGCGCGTCAGTGTTCAGCACCATGGAGAGCGGCGTGGTGCACATATTCAAAGAGGACCGCTGTGCTTCGGGCCAGCCGGGGGAGTGCGACCCGAACTTCACCTGGCAGTCCGGCTTATCGGACATCTTCAACTACACTCCAAACGGCACCTGGGACGCGGAACCCGAGCCGATGTCACCCATCATACCCATCATAGTCGCCGTGTACTCCGTGGTGTTTGTAGTGGGCTTGGTGGGCAACTGTTTAGTAATGTATGTCATCATTAGGTGAGTTTTTATATTAAGTGTTCTTGCATTTTTTGTCACATGTAAGTAAGTGAGGCAGCGCACATTGCCAATCTGCGCGCACAGGTGGTGCGTTATTATCTTTCCAGCGGCAGTCATGAGTGTCTCCCTTCTATTTAAGTTTAACTCTAACCAGTACATCGCTTTCATCACGTAGGAAACAATAACATTAATCTGCATTTTATATACATTTACTTATGTCTGTTTTACAGCGTTTTTCATGTTTGTGTTTGTCTTGAATTTCTCCTGTAGTCAAATTGTTTCTATTTTTACTTTTCATCATTTAATTGCCCAGTAAGCTAAAGGATAATAGAGACTGCATCGCTTGTTTTTTGAAATCAAATGTAGTATTTTTCATTGCATGTAAGCTCATGAGAAAAGCCTGATGCACAGCTTAAATACTGGGTTTAAAATGAGATACAAATTAAAAGGGGCAAAAGGGGGAATCATTATTATGTTAAATCCAATTAAGAGTGCCTAAGTTACTTGGTGCCTGAATTTCAGCTGGAGAGCTGAGCTGATATTTTCAAATAATAATTCCATCTTATTGTATTGTTTCAAAGTGCCACATACATGTGCATTACTTAGCACAATATTTGCTAAAAAATGTTGCATAAAAATTATGTTAAAGCACTAAATCTAGGTGTTGCTTGAGAAATGTCTTTGTGGTTAAAACAATATGTTAGAATGTATGTATGAAACTGAAAAAGTTGGGCAGTGATGCAATGCACACTGGAACTTTCCTATATATAATTATTTTAACAAACAAATGTTTTTTTCCCATAATAAATGAATTGTAGGGGTCTCTTTATCTAGTCAATATACCAAATTTAACCAAATTCTTAATAATTTACATCTACCCACATTCTCACAATCTTATAAATTTGTATCACCTAAATTGATTGAAGCCTTTTTGTTTGTAAAGAACAAAACTGTTAAAGTGTTTCTGAAAATCTTCAGGAAAACCACAGAGCTCTGGGAGAACAGGTGTCCAGCTTCCATTCCAAAGAGCTACTATTCTTCAACTTTTAGATGTCTGCCCTCTCCAGCACACCTAAAACAAATTTTTATATTCTCTCATCAGCACATCATTCAACTCTGCAGAAGCCTGATAATGAGACATTCATTTGATTGGTGTGTAGAGAAGCAAAGCTCAAGAACAGGAGTTGGGCACACATGTTCTAGAACAGACAGGAGAGGAAGCATGCAGCTCAACATAAAGTGTATCACATGGTTTCGGTAATATGTAGCCAATTATCACTAACATTTGGTCTGTTGATAATGTATTTTGATTTCTCTTTTTATTTGATGGCTAAACCATAAAAATTTTTGATTTAAAAAAAGATATACAACATAAAATGACACAGAAGCTTATTTTTTATTCATTAAGAGTCAAAGTTGTCCAGACACTCAAGTACATTCCTTCTAATGTTTCACTAAAGGGTGTGATGACAATTCAAACAAAGGACCTGACATTCTAGGACACATGGAACAGAGGATACATTCTTACTGAGTGTGGTAGTTGGAAGCAGACAGCAACAGGGTTCACCATTGAGACATATACAGGCTTACAGATCCAGGGACGAACCAAAGGGAAGATGTCAAGAGACAGAAACTTGGCCATAGATCTAAAAGCAGGAGAGGTACACTGAACAAAAATATAAACGCAACACCCATTTTATTTCAGATGAACTCAAAGATCTAAAACTTTTTTAGTCCACAAGCCTGTCTAAATATGTGATAGTGAGCATCAAGATGCTCATTAAACAGCATGATTAGCACACAGGTGTGCCTTAGACTGCCCACAATAAAAAAAAGGGGGGGGGGGGGGAGTTTTATCAAACCGCACAATGCCATAGATGTCACACAATGTGGGGGGGGGTAGAGATGATTGGGTTGTTAATTGTGGCCTGTGGAATACTGGTCTAGTCCTTTTCAATGCCTGTGCAAAGTTTCTGGATATTGGCAGGAAATGATACATGCTTTCACATACACCGATCCAGAGCATCCCAAACAGGCTCAATGGGTGACATGTCTGGTGAGTATACCAGCCATGCAAGAACTGTTGAACGTTTTCAGCTTTCAAGAATTTTCGAGAGGTCCCAGCAGCATGAGGCCGTGCATTATCCTGCTGCAACATGAGGTCATGATCATTCAGGTATGGCACAGCAGTGGGCCTCAGGAGCTTGTTGCGGTATCTCTGTGCATTCAAAATTCCATCAATAAAATGCACCTGTGGTCTTGGTCCAAAACAGACGCTTGCCCATACCATAACCCCACCACCACCATGGGTCACTCAATCCACAACATTGACATCAGAAAAATGCTCACCCACATGACACCACAAACGCTGTCTCTCCTCAAGTGAACACTTCTCCAACGTGTCAGACACCAGCGAATATGAGCATTTGCCCACTCTAGTCGGTTACGATGATGAACTGGAGTCCGGTGGAGACCCTGATGAGGGCAACGGGCAGATGAGCTACCCTTGAATGATTTCTGACACTTTGTGCAGAAATTCTTTGGTTATGTAAATCAATTTTTTCAGCAGGTGTCTGAGTGGCTTGTCTCAGAAGCTTATCTTGAAGGTGAAGATGTTGCATGTGGAGGTCTTGGGCTCGTGTGGTTACACTTGGTCTTCTGTTGTGAGGCTGGTTAGTTGTACTGCCAAATTCTGTAAAACCCCCTTTGGAGACAACCTTTATTAGAGAAATGAACATTCAATACACGAGCAACAGCTCTGGTTGACATTCCTGCTCTCAGCATGCCGATTGCGTGCTCCCTCAAATCTTGCGACATCTGTGGCATTGCGCTGTCTGATAAAACTACACATTTCAGAGTGGCCTTATATTGTGGGCAGTCTAAGACACACCTGTGCACTCATCATTGTGTCTCATCAGCATCTTGATATAGCACACCTGTTGAGTGTATTAACGAGGAATCCGGGGGGCAGAAGAGAGGTTGGGATCAGGCAGGCAAGGAAAGAAGGAGCACTGAATATTTACTCAGACAAACACTTTAGATAATCTGGCAACAGTAACTGGTTTGCAAGCTGGTTAAATAAGCAGGAAAGCAGGTGATAAGCATCATGACTGATGAAAAGTGGCAGAGCTGCACAGGTTATAGAATGAGTGATAATGGTGCCAGGGAAAGAGCTGAATGTAAACAATCACTTTGCCAGAATCATGACAAAAAGTATGTTAGGCTATATTCAAACTGCAGGGATTAATGCATAATTCTGATTTTCTTGTCAATCTTATTTTATTTCTTATCTTATTTCCAAATATATGTGACTTGTATGTGATCTCCTGTGTGAATTGCATTCATACAACGTGTACTGCATTAGAGGATGCAATGACGTCACAAGCAAGCGTGCTCTGTGTTTACAGAAGTAAACTTGGGTGGTAGTGGTGGACTATATAGACATCGGTAGACTCCGCGTCATCGGGTGAGAGGCGTGCCAATAGAGCGGTCATCTTAGGTCAGACAATGCTGTGGTAATAGACAATACACGTTAATTAAGGTTAACCCTAATTTATGACTTTAGGAACTCCAGTGAATTCTTAACTGATTTCAAGATCAATTTGCTGAATAAAATGAAAACATTTCATAGTCTACATGAGACCAACAGATTGATCTGATTTTCTGTTTTAATACATAATTCTGATTTTGTATTGACAGTTAGCAAACTTCAAGAGCTTCCTCACAGGACTGCTTGACTTTTATTTCACCTATGGGTGCACAAATAGAAGGAGACTACAAGCCTGATCCAGTGGAATTGCTTTTCATAATTGGGATTTTATGACAGCTTATCTTCATGTTTCACAGTTACCATTTTTCTGGTGTTTAAAAATGAAGTGCTAATGGGTAGCAGGGGTGGAAGCAGAGAAAAGTGCTTAAAAACACTCTGACTTCTAAAAGGTGTGAATGCGGATGTATATATATGTAACTATAAAAAAATATGTATATTAAACAATGAATATATAGATATAACTATTAATATATATTGTATATACAGCTGTATTTTTTATTGGTCTGTATAGGCTAGACATTGAACATAGTAAATCTGCTCAGATCCAACAAAGATAGCTTCATATATATATATATATATATATA